CTGTAGCTTTTGTAGGTCTCGAGATGAAAAATCGGTACAGAGACCCAGCGCACACACAGACACACACACAGACACACGCATACACATACAGACAACCTCTCGTCAATATGCGTTTTTCATATTGCATAGCCGCAAAAATGCATAATAAACAGTTATGCGGTAAATTTAGTAAAAAATCAGGTACCGTCAACAAAACGAATGGAAAGAAAATGATGATGGGATGAAGCAAGGACCACTATTTTCGTTGATAGCCGCTGAAGAAAGCTTCTCTCGGGAAAAGCAGATGGAAGATACTTTCTTCTCCACTGCTCCTCCTCATACGTTTCTTAGGTCTAAGCCGTGGTCTGACTGACCGGCAGTACAGGATACAAATGACCTAACATGAATCACTGTGAAATAGAAAAACAGCAACATTTCAGAAGTGCCAAGCACTCAACTGAAACAAATATTTACATGAATCGTCAGAACACTGTTGCGAGCAGAAAAAAAATGCCTCGAGGCAAATTTTTTCCAGAATGCCATTTAAAAAAATTAATTCAGTGAAAGCGCTTCCTTCATGCTCAGTACTGAAATGTAAAAACTAAAAGCATTTAAAAATAACCGAAGTAACACTTCTCGATACTGATGCCGGACACATAACGACCCATGGAAGTATAAGCCCGGGTGAGCGGCTCTTCACGGATACACAATTTCCCGTATTCCGTATCATGTTTTAGAAACGTGAAGAGCACATCGAAATCGCATGATTCGTGGAAGTGAAATACTTGCGAGGCTGTCTGAGGCACGCTTCCGCCTTGCAGTGTGGCGATTGTTCTAAAATGTATCATTTAACAAGCAGTGCTGTTAGATTTAGTGTCGCAAATGGGAATTAGCTGCCAAATTAATCGTTAGAATGAATCAAATTCCGTCGTTTTTTCAACAGTGGGTTTCGATTATTAAAAACTCAAACTGGAACGCACCGGGCGGGCTTGTGCGATCATGCGTTTTTGCACCGGACTTGAAGTACCCAGGTCATTAACTGCATGAATGGTTGTTGCTTTACACCAACCTTTTGTGGTCACTAGCATAAATCACCATTAATTTTGCATAAAGAAAATGTGTAGTTTCTGTTTAAAGGTCGTTCTTTAAGAGTAATCTAGCTATTCAGTGAGAAATTTTCTCTCCAAAAATTTTAGGTGCCCATACGTAACAACCACGCATACCTCAAGGCTGAATTTGAAATACTTGAGTTGCACTTGGACGGGGAACATTCTCCTAAAATTTCAGTTTTCTAGCTTTTCTGGTTCTCGAGTTAGTATTTTTCCCGCATGAACTTCCACACGCCCTTACGTGAGTATCACGCACGGCTAGGAGCTGGATTTTAAATATTTGAGTTGTACTTGGATAGAGAATATTCCCCCAAAATTCCAGCCCTCCAGCTTTTCTGTTGCCGGGTTAGTGATTTCTCCGCAGAAATTTTCATACGCCCTTACGTGAGTACCATACACAGCTTGGGGCTGAATTTGAAACATCTGAGTTGTACTTGTATATTCTCCCAAAATTTCAGTTTTCTAGCTTTCCTGGTTCCCGAGTTAGCAATTTTCC